AAGAACTGTTGAACGACGAGATTTGACGTGATTGTACGAGGTAAGAAGTGAAACAATTTTTTCCAAATCATGTAACTGATGTGCTTAAATATATTTTAATATTTATATTTCGATTGTTTTCTTTGAGATGAGTTGAAAAAATGTAAAGGTGTTATACAAGTATGATAAATAAAGGATGTTGTCTGGTATCAAAAATTTTATTAGGCTTATGATCGTTTCGATCGCGTAGCGATTATTCACAGAGCTTGCAGCTTCCGGGCCGAAAACAAAGTTCTGGTGGACAACTGAGGATGATCGCTACGCGATCGAAACAATCATAAGCCTAATAAAATTATTGGTACCAGACAACATTCATTATTTATCATAATAATAGAAGGTATCTACCTCACCAGCGATCTAATTAATAAAGTGTTATATAAGGTGTAACTCAAGGTATTAATAGATTTTTATAGACGTGTTGCGATTGGTCGGTCACCATGCAAATTTATGTTTAATGGTACAGTTTTTATTGAACCTACATCTTATGAATGCTTTTGAAACTGTAGTAATAGCTCTTAAATGCGTAATCAGCGAAGAGATAATCTTATTTCAGAAGAACTTTGTATTTTAGCGAATGCATTTCATTTTAACGAATAGTATACAAGTTCATCTACAAAATCACTAACTTACAAGCAACATACTCGTAATTTCAATTCGAGAAATAAAAATACTCTCTTCGTAATATTTTGTAAGGCAATTAGACATGTTTGAGTAAAAACCCTTTTAGGCTGCAAATAAAATATAAGGTCGTGTTTTCAAAATTACTAAATTTAATAGCACCTGTTTTGTTCAACGTTACGTAAAACATAATCATGCTGAGCGTAATTATATAATAAACTCTTGAGGCAGAAATGTAGAACGTTCCACGAACAAAACAGATACACAACCCACCATTTAAGTTTTGAATCGTCGCTCTGTACACTTTTATTTTAATATGTAATATTACATTATCTACTCAATTTTTGAGGTTTAGCTCTTTGTTAAATTAAAAACAACAGTTTGAATTGGCCGCCAATATCTCGAAATGGAAAAATTACCATCTAACGAACAAACTTCTCTTACCGTTTCGTCACGACACGCTAAGACTCCGACCTTCGGTCTACACGATTAATAAAAGATCACACACTTGAGACTGCAACGTGGAATGTCCTACACATATCGTTGTAAGTAACAATTCCAGAATTCCTTGATAATTTACTCCTTTTTTAACTCCACACACCCCACATTGTCTTCTATAGTGTAATATTTGTGTGTTGGCATGTGTGCTGTGAATGTTTGAAAAAAACTTCGTCCTGTATTTTGACGTGAAGAAATATCAAATTTGCAAAGATTTGATGGACTTGCTTCTCTCCGAGAGTCACGGGACTCCTTCAATATTTGTCGTCCACGATTAGTATATATTACATTACATTATTGAATAGATTTAACTAAACATATAGAAATAATTATATGCGTCGTCATTGCCAACAATATTACCACTAATATTCCTCTAATATTGTCAATGCCACTAATATTGTTGGCCATGACGACGCATATAATTATTTCATTACAAATGTCAACGATAACTCACCACAACACCTATATAAATAGAGAGAATATTACTCGTAGTATTCAAATAACATGTAAGTTCCCAGAACATTAAATACGAATTACTTTACGAATCGTAGCTCTTTCTTCTACGGAAGTTGCGCCAAATTCATTCAATTATCATGCTAAACATGACTTTAAATATGGACTTCCCTAATTATACTGAAATATAGACCATAAGTGGACAAAATTAATAAAAAATTAAAGAAAATTTATAACTTAAAAGCTTATTATAAAATATTTTCAAGTATTTATTTTCAAAAAAATATAGGATGTTTTTCTCAAAATGTTATCAGGGGCTCTTAATTTTTAGTAGAGCATATGCTTTGCTTATCCGTTCATTCACCCTAGTCTACACGTATTGCATCGACCATTTTCCTTAATACACTTTCAAATTTCCTCAAAAAACAATTCCCTCACCTCTACGACAGCACCCCGTGCCAGAAAGCGGGCGTGTTGGCCCTGCTCTTCGGATCGCCTGTCCCTCCCCCTCCCCCTCGCGAGGCGAAGGGGTAACTCGATCCGCAGCTCCCTTCCGCGGATCCATATGCGGCAGGAGGGCCGCTCGATGCCCCGCTGGTAGCGCATCGAGATACGAAGCCGCGATAAGGAGCCTTGGCGGGCGCGCCACGCACGAACGGCGCCGGCCCGGCGGGTCGTTAGGCCAACACGAAACACCCGCCAGCTGCAGCGGCGGCAA